TCAGGAAGGATTATGTAATTTACTTCTTATCAAAGCTCCTTTGAAGGGATCACACTCTTGAGAGATGTGGAGGACTCAAAGTTTGTCCTGCACCGCTGCCAAGTTTGAGACAAAGGAATGTTTTTGCTGAGTATGTGGAGCCTGTCAGCACATTTTTGAAAATGGGACTGATAGGTACACAGGACAGTAGGACATACACTAGGTCATGATGAAGTTCAGTCCAGGACTAGTCTGACTTACCGGATGTAGACTGTGGGTATAAGACAGATGACAGACAACGGTAGCCATTGTAGTCATTCATTCAGCGTTAAACTGCATTATCACTGTATGGAGTTGTTGGCATGATTGACGCCTGATATTCTGCTTTTATCTTGCACTACTACAGACACGGTGCATAACCTTGTCTCTTTCTGTGCGTGGACGGTGTGCCTACCATCACGGCCATACTTCTTCGCATTAGTCTTTATACCTTTGTTGGTATTAATGCTGTGCTGAATGTGGACGATTCTTTCGCAGCCGCTGTAAAAATAAATAAGTAGGACTGAATAAGCACTCTGTATCATAAAACTTCTCTCTCGCAAACAACCCTTTGCAAGAAACGCCTCGTCTGACAATTCCTTGCTGCCTCCGACAGTTGAAAAGAGAACAAAAACTGAAATTTATGGCCACTTCCTCTCAGGGAGGAGTGCAGCAGTAGCTCACTGGCATTCAGCAAATGCAGTAAAAACTTTCACAGTGTCTTCGCACCATGTGGCTAAAAAAGCCTTCTTTGACAATGAGGATGGCTGTCCTGTGTCCTGATATCCCGTCAGAGTCGGATGAGGTAGACAACACCCATGATAAAGCTTGTCAACAATGGCTGAAGTCCTTTTGTTGAGAATAAAACACCATTTTAGATCACAAAAGGAGCTGTCGAGAGTGGCAGCTATAACCTTTTTACTCAACATATCCCTTTTCTCCTCAACTAAAGTGCAACTGGATAAGAATTCAGGTTTAAGGACAAAGCAGTCGAGTCATTTTTTCCCACAAAAATGGCTTCTTTTTAAAAAAAATGCTTCTATTCTTTAAAACACTCTCCCTTGTCAATGTTCCCCCCCCATTATCAGTTTGTGGATAATGTAACCCAAGTCTTATTGCATTCAAATGTGTTTAACTTTAGTCTGTGCCTCTCTGTCCGGTAGCTTAATTCTCTATTCTATGACAGTGCATGAAGTGAACTAAAATAAGCAGTTATTGGAAGTAGCCTGCCAAAAATTGAGGAATTCAAATAGTGTGTTGTTGTGTCTGTGTGTACTTGCATATTTGTGTATTTATCGGTGCCAGATGTCTATATTTACTCTCTCAAATCTCAGTGGAGATAAAGCCAAAGCCAGCAAAAAAATAAGTTTTTTGTTTTCACTGCAACTTTTTGTCACAATGTTGCTGCAAGAGGAATGACTTTGCTATTGGACAGTGAGTTTGCTTTTCAAGCATTGGGAGGTACAAGAAGTAAACCATGCAATCTCTGAGGTCTTAATTAGGTTGTAGTATTTATGGCTGCAGTGCAGGAGGATGTGCAGATTTACTGCCGCACTAACGCATCAGACAGCGGAAACACTTTGGTGTTGCTTCGTACAGTCTATGCCATGCGATTTAGTTCACCATTATAAAACATGTTACCCTTATGCATTGTTGTATAGATCGACTGTTTAAACCATTACAAACCTTATGTAGACAAGTTTTCATTTGCCCATCAAGTCAAAATAAAATGGAGACAGTGGATCACCGGGGGATCCGCCCAGACATGTTCGATGTTTGATAGTTGCTCTGGTAAAGTTAAATGACTTCCTTTGGCACTCTGTAGAAACAAAAACGGCTGGATAATATCAGACGGGACTTTAGATAACAAACCAAGAAGGTGAGAAAGCAGCGCAACAGGTAACCTCGTTCGGGACTGTCTCAACCGGAAGGTCACTTCGTAAAGCTAGCTGAGGGAAGCGGCTGTGTGTTGGCCTTGAATGTAGGCGGAGCGGTTAACCAGCCTACATTTACCAAACTGACCGGTAAGTTCTCACCAAGTCTTTTAACGTGTAAAACCTAAAATAAATAGTAGAGCGGCGTAAAAAGTGGTTATTTTTTTACCACTAATTGCGTGAAATGGAGGTGTCTAATGGAACTTTCGGCTTTCCATAAAATGCTGTTTAAAAAGAGGCGTTAGAGAGGGTAACTGAATCTCATGTGTTGTCTCTGGTTAACCGACCCACCTGCATTAAGGAGCAGCAGGCAACAGGCTGCTAATGCTAGCCTACCTGTAAACAGATGCTAAATGCTACAGTTGATGGTGATGGACTACTAAAAGGATGCTTTTAGAGATTAATAAGGATATTGCATTTTTAAATATTTCACCAGATCAAAGCTGATGACATCCTTAAAATTTGACTCTTAAAAGAAAGACAAGAGAGAGACTGAGGAGTGTAGCGTTAACTGAAACCATATATTTGATGGCCTGGGAGAGTTGTTGTGAGGTTCATTTATACAGGTTTTTGTCATTATTCTTCTCTCTTTACCACATTGTGTATGTTCTTCTTCTAATTCTAACGTAACTCATGGTATTTTTATACAGTATTTTTGCTGTTGACCTAAATGCATGTTTTTTGGCCACAACAAAGTAAAACAACATGTCTAAGTGTGCTTTCTGATTATTGTACCAGGCCTGTTTTGCATTTGTGATGAAGCCTTCTTGTTCAGCAGAATGTCATAAAATTCAAGCCAGCTTTTAAAAAATATTTATTCTGGTTTAAAATTAATGTGACAACAGTATTAAAAAATAAGTCAAACATCACTTTTTGTCACAATCTTCCAAAATCGACTTACTTAAATAATGATGATTTTAATGGGTTTTCCACAATTGCATCATCCCACAAACTGCAAGCTGTTTTTGATATCATGGAAACAAATCTGATCAGTATTTACGTTGTTTGAACATATGTCTTTAGAGAGCAAAATTCCAAGACTTTCAACTAATTTAAAGAAATATGTGTTTATTTTCTTGTCAGGAATTAAATGAAAACTCATGTCTGTGTACTATGGAGCCATGACCTGGAGTCAATAAGCTTACCGGGGGGGTTCACCTCTGGAACTCACTAATAATTGTTGTATCTCAGTTGCTTAATCCCCATACAAATATAAAAATGGGAATTTGTGGTTTAATGGGGAGTTTATTGCTGAAACAACTTTTTGGCCTGGTGCAGCAACTTCCCAGAATTTTGTAATCGGCGCATGTATGACAAGCAAAGCTACTGTTCGGCAGGAACTAGCTACAGCATGTGAGGCCTTCTAAATGAACCAATATTAATATAATATTATACCAATATAATGATTAGGCCGTTTTTTTCCATCAAAAAGATTAAGCAGGGGATTACAGGTTGATCCATAGACCTTTTTCATGGGAGACATTTTGGTTCGTCATTGTAGGAAAAACACAGGTGAAACTAATTAATGATGGTTCAGTTCCATCAGTAAGCCATGACAGTGAGCAAGCACACCAGCAATCTGATACTGGTTCACCTAAATTGAATGCAGTCCTTTTTTATTTTCATCAATTGCACCTGTGCTTTTTCTACTATGATAAGCCAAAATGTCCACTGTGAAAAAAGTCTATCACCTAACAAAGTCATGTACTCACAGTCCTCATATGCTGACCCAGTGAATGCCTTTTCACTCCTAGCGCAGATATTTGGTTGATTGACAGTAGTTATGTCTCCCTGCACAGACTAAGTTTCTGGTTTGTGGAGTGAACACTGATCCGTGCAGCTACCTCACCTGACCTGCTGTCCCCTTCAGTAGGATTTATCTCTTCCCCTAAAGGCGCCATTAATCATCACTCTGCAGGCACAAGGGACAGAAGATCTGAGGAAGCACAGAATCACCTTATTGATGGTGGCATTGATTGCAGGGTAAAAATTAAAATGGGGTGACCTGATGGCGATTAGCTGCTAAGGAGGGAACTCAAGCACACACAGACTTCTTTCTTTGTGAGGATCCACAATTTATTTCAGGGGCAAATTGTATTTTCAAAAGCTAAAACTAGCGCTAACATTCTCTTGGCTCCAACTGCAAGCCCAAGAAATAACAACATCAAACACAGAATTATATTTTGGACCACAAAATGTCTGTCATTTCAACATTTTTGTGAAGATATATGCTCCTCACAAAGACATGCATGCACAAATATATCCACTATAAAGTAGATTATTTCGACCTTGAACATAATGGTTGCCTGCCTTCAGAAAAGAGGATGTTAATCAGCTCCTCCACTGAATTAACTTCATTTTGGCTCGGCCACGAGAATACTAATATTTTCCTTCCAAGCAACTGAATATAGCAACAACAAATAGAAAAACACTGAGATAAAATATACATGAGTCTAACCTTTTGCCCCTCTCTCTCCTCTCTCCTCTCTCTCCTCTCTTTCAGGTGGTCGGCAAAAGGAGATCATGATATCTAAATCTGACACTAAGGTGTTGATAACAGATTACAACCCCTCTAAGGCCTACACTGTCAGTGTCATCAGCATCAGTGGCAGTGAGCAGAGCAGGCCACTTCAGGGCAGACATAAAGGTGCGTTCATGCATTTTACTTCTTTGCTTCTGTTCTATTGCAGCACTGTAATGTGTCGCTCCCATGTACTCTGTTGTTCTCTACTGTACTGTCAATTGTATTGTACACTGTTATGGTCTTCTCAACTCTACTTTGCGCCTCTATTTTACTTTACAGTACACCACTACCACCACCACTGCTACACTACTTTTATCTTCTTCTTGTCTCTTCTGCCAAGTTTCCTCCCATCTCATCTTCACACTCTCCTCTCCTTTCTTATCTGTAATGCTGTACTCAACTTTATTCTGATGTGCTATACTCTACTCTTTCCCCCCCCAATATTCCATACCTGTTTCTTATTCTATGCTATTCTGCTAACTTGTGATTGATTTGATCTGCAGCAGCTGAAAGAGGTGAGAGTGACGGAGAAGACAAGACTAAGCCCGAGAGGCTGACCGAGTCAGTTGTACCTCCTGAGGATGCCAACGAGATCTCTGGAGGTAGGACAAACGCACACAAACACTGTTTCCAGGAGAGGAGGCCATTTACACATCCTGTGCTCACATGAACATATAAATAGCATGAATTGTGCCGAGTCAGACTCTGCTTAAAGAGTCCTCCAGTCAGTTGCCATAGAGATCTTTGGATGAAGGAAAAACAGCCATTGGTGTTGTCTTTAACACCAGCTCCATAGATCAGAAAGTCTAAAATATGAGTCTGGTGTCTATCCGTGTCCAGTTGGATCCAACTGTGAAGTGTTTCCCCAATGCAGAGTTTGTGTGCAACCGGTAAACAGCTGAATCCACCTTTTAAAGCAATACTCAGACAGATGTCAGCCTGGTGGTCTACTTACCCACCAAGTGAGAGTCAAGAAGCCAAAACCATCTACGCTTCAATGGTGAATCACTCCCAGTGGAGCTTTCTTGGAAACTATTCAGCATACACGATGCTGAGTGAGGTGACTCCGTATGTTAGGTGATGCGTTTATTTTAGCTCTCCTCCCCAACAAGACTGTCTGTCTGGCTTTCTTTCTTTCTGTCAATCTTTTTATTTTCAGTTTATTGGTTACATGCTATATGTTACCCGACAAGAAAGGAATGCATTCATTTTTATCTTCAGTGTATGTATCTACTGTTGCTGACTTTCTACCATAACCATGAATTCATTGGGGAATCGTTTATAATTGACAGTGAAAGATAAAGCTATTTATTTTTTTGCAGACTTAGGCATGAACCATGCTGGTGGCTGAATTTGAGACACTACCTGCAGCTGATATGTGAATGTGACTGCTTTCGTAAGATTTAAAAGAAACTTCCTGTGACCGTTTTGCTATTGCTGTCAAGCTTTAAGTATACACATAGACAGAATCTCATTACTTGGTTTAGGGGGCTTCTTATTTAAGCACTTTTTCTTATGATTGGCTCATTTTTTTTTGTGTGCTGGGTGATAATTTATCATAGGTCAGTGAAAGAAAGCTGTTCAGGAAGTTGTGATTATTGAATTTGGTGTGAAGAAGTCCATCCTCAAATGAACTGCGTCATCATTTTCATGGACTATAACCCTTGTATATTATTTGCACAATATAATTTCCCTCTTGCTAAATGTGCACTTCTTATTTGCTGATAGAGCAAGAGAGGCAGAGAGAGAGGCAGAGAGAGAGGCAGAGAGAGAGGCAGAGAGAGAGGCAGAGAGAGAGGCAGAGAGAGAGGCAGAGAGAGAGGCAGAGAGAGGGGCAGAGAGAGGGGCAGAGAGAGGGGCAGAGAGAGAGAGGCAGAGAGAGAGAGGCAGAGAGGAGAGGCAGAGAGAGAGGCAGAGAGAGAGAGAGCGCGCGCATCACTGAGCAATTAACCAAGTTATAAAGCTTATTTATAGACACTTTGCATCCGTGAATGCATAATGAATTGTCTCTTGAGTGGAGATGAAAACTCATCCATAGTAAATCAAAACACATTTCATATTGACTGCAATCTCTGGTAACACTTGCAATGTATTAACCTGCATAGCGTAGAGCTATTGGATTCACGATAAAGAATCTGTGATTATCATACCTACATTCTGTATCTAGAGTCACACAAAGAGAAGATATGAGATAATAGAACGTTTGTGTAATGAAGAATCGTACTTCATATCACAAACTGTTCCCTTCTGATAAATACTGTACTGTCACTATATATGCACAATGCCATCTTTTCAGAAACGCGTCAAGAGCTGAACTACAATAACAACTAAAACAACATTTTTATGAAGAAAGAGAATAGACCTTGTTGTTTTAACAGAGATCAGAATTTCAATAGATTTGATTTCAGCTCCCACCGACTGATTTTGTGGTTTATCGAGGCAATTCATAATCAGGTCATGAATTCATATATCAGCACGATACATTTTGTGGTGATATTTGTTGACATTTTCTGTTTTTGGAATGCCAAATTTCGTTTTTGATTTGTACTCTCTCCAACAATAGAGAGCAATGTGTTTGTAGCTGCCATTGTTTTGGTAACATTCCCAGCTGTGCCTCTTGACCAACACATCTGGTTACAAAAGTGTGAGCTTGCCTGCCATGTCCCTATTCGCAAAATATAAACTACCTTTGAGTCCCAGGATGAAAACTCAAACTTCATAAAAAACTAATGAACTTAATTTAAAGTGTAATGACTCTCTCTCTACACACACAGAGGTTTAGATCTTTGATGTTCTTTTATTCTTTGTTTCTTGCTCTGCTCCTCCTCCCTTCCTCCCTTCCTGTCAGTAGGTAGATTAAAAACTGGATTTCCTTCAGTCTGCTGTTATCAGAACCACTCAACATTCACTGCAGCAGAGGTGACCTTGATTGGTGTACTGCTTTGTACCTGTTGGGGATTATGATAATATCCTGCTGTGCTTCAATAGAGTGTGTGTGTGTGTGTGTGTGTGTGTGTGTGTGTGTGTGTGTGTGTG